ACACTAATAACTAAATTACAAACAAAACAAAACAGGGCAATTACATTGTCAGTATAAATATATTCAACTACTAACCTAACAAAATGAATCAATAAACTAATACAGTCTAAAGCAATAATAAACTCTTAAACTAACCTGGTCTTGGAGGTGTTGCTGCCGACCCGCACATTTTGTGTCCTCCCTGTTAGGAAGTCCAGCACCCAGTTACAGAGAGAGGTTTTGAGTCCCAAGTGTCCGAGTTTTTGTATGAGCTGCTGGGGAATGATTGTGTTGAATGCTGAACTGAAATCTAGGACCAGCATTCGCACATATGAGTTCTTTGAGTCCAGGTGGGTGAAGGCTTGATGGAGAGCAGGGCAAACATTTCTAGAAACAGATAAAACAGTTCACATTTTAATGGTGTCTGCATTTGCTGAAGCCAGCTGTACTGGGTCTGTGTTAGTACTGACTGAGGATGGATGTAGATTAACTCAGTCTTTACTTGTATTGGTTGATGATGACGTACCTCCTCTATTGACATACTATTCTCCCAGATTTCCTTTAATACATTTTCAAATATAATACTATTTATAATATGGTGTGGCTGGTTGCTTGGTGGTTATTATTTACTGAGAGCATCCGTATTGCCCAGTATGCCCAGCCAATCAACAGTTTAAATTCAATAGCATATTAATTAAAAAGTCAATGTCAACCCATTGCTTTCCATCCTGCATTAGTCCAGAGTTAGAACTAAACCTTGACTGGAGACTAGATAATTATTGTCTTGTTATAAAATTATATACCCCTCTCAGAAGTGCCATCACCCTTATATTTGTCTGAACTGATCACAAAGGTTGCTAATGTTACTGGAAAGTAAGAGTTTCATTTTGTGCACATGCATACAGTACAGGCCAAAAGTTTGGACACACCTTCTCATTCAATGCGTTTTCTTTATTTTCATGACTATTTACATTGTAGATTCTCACTGAAGGCATCAAAACTATGAATGAACACATGTGGAGTTATGTACTTAACAAAAAAAGGTGAAATAACTGAAAACATGTTTTATATTCTAGTTTCTTCAAAATAGCCACCCTTTGCTCTGATTACTGCTTTGCACACTCTTGGCATTCTCTCGATGAGCTTCAAGAGGTAGTCACCTGAAATGGTTTTCCAACAGTCTTGAAGGAGTTCCCAGAGGTGTTTAGCACTTGTTGGCCCCTTTGCCTTCACTCTGCGGTCCAGCTCACCCCAAACCATCTCGATTGGGTTCAGGTCCGGTGACTGTGGAGGCCAGGTCATCTGCCGCAGCACTCCATCACTCTCCTTCTTGGTCAAATAGCCCTTACACAGCCTGGAGGTGTGTTTGGGGTCATTGTCCTGTTGAAAAATAAATGATCGTCCAACTAAACGCAAACCGGATGGGATGGCATGTCGCTGCAGGATGCTGTGGTAGCCATGCTGGTTCAGTGTGCCTTCAATTTTGAATAAATCCCCAACAGTGTCACCAGCAAAACACCCCCACACCATCACACCTCCTCCTCCATGCTTCACAGTGGGAACCAGGCATGTGGAATCCATCCGTTCACCTTTTCTGCGTCTCACAAAGACACGGCGGTTGGAACCAAAGATCTCAAATTTGGACTCATCAGACCAAAGCACAGATTTCCACTGGTCTAATGTCCATTCCTTGTGTTTCTTGGCCCAAACAAATCTCTTCTGCTTGTTGCCTCTCCTTAGCAGTGGTTTCCTAGCAGCTATTTGACCATGAAGGCCTGATTGGCGCAGTCTCCTCTTAACAGTTGTTCTAGAGATGGGTCTGCTGCTAGAACTCTGTGTGGCATTCATCTGGTCTCTGATCTGAGCTGCTGTTAACTTGCGATTTCTGAGGCTGGTGACTCGGATGAACTTATCCTCAGAAGCAGAGGTGACTCTTGGTCTTCCTTTCCTGGGTCGGTCCTCATGTGTGCCAGTTTCGTTGTAGCGCTTGATGGTTTTTGCGACTCCACTTGGGGACACATTTAAAGTTTTTGCAATTTTCCGGACTGACTGACCTTCATTTCTTAAAGTAATGATGGCCACTCGTTTTTCTTTAGTTAGCTGATTGGTTCTTGCCATAATATGAATTTTAACAGTTGTCCAATAGGGCTGTCGGCTGTGTATTAACCTGACTTCTGCACAACACAACTGATGGTCCCAACCCCATTGATAAAGCAAGAAATTCCACTAATTAACCCTGATAAGGCACACCTGTGAAGTGGAAACCATTTCAGGTGACTACCTCTTGAAGCTCATGGAGAGAATGCCAAGAGTGTGCAAAGCAGTAATCAGAGCAAAGGGTGGCTATTTTGAAGAAACTAGAATATAAAACATGTTTTCAGTTATTTCACCTTTTTTTGTTAAGTACATAACTCCACATGTGTTCATTCATAGTTTTGATGCCTTCAGTGAGAATCTACAATGTAAATAGTCATGAAAATAAAGAAAACGCATTGAATGAGAAGGTGTGTCCAAACTTTTGGCCTGTACTGTATAAATGCATGTTCACACACAATGCAGTTCTCTTTTCCTAGCTGACATTTATTAAAGCTGTTGCCCATTGGCGTTTATAAAACGTAATAAATAGTTGTATTTTACTTTCACTTTTGTCAGGCACAAAGTTGCAATACAGCCTAGAAGTGACTAGCAAACAAGCGAGATACAGCCAGACCGAGGGAGTTACTGCCCAGCTAGGTTAACAAGACAGACAGACTGACAGGCTAGAGTGATGTTACTGTTATTTACTGATATCAAACTTGGAGATGACAGAACCTAACCCTTTACCTGACTGCTGTCCCTGCAATTCACTCTCATGGTGTTTTTTTCTCTTTTCATGACCAAAAGGATAGTTCCATTTCATCTTCTATTGGAAGTTGGAAGGAAACATTGACACCTGCTTTGATACAAGGGAGAGGAGGAGACCTCATGTAATTTGCAGAGCCTACACAGCTTGCCTAGTGAGCATACGGCTGCCCGACTCTGTGGGACATTTGAAGCACTCTGTGCTGACCACGGGGCCCTAAGCAGCCGCTTAGTTTGTGTATGCATCAGGCCAGCTCTGGGCAGAGTGAAAATCTGTTACAAATGTAATGGCAATCCATTCAATAGTTGACATATCACTAAAAACACAAGTGTCAACACCACAGTATACCAACTGACTGACCTAGATTGCCATCCCTAGAGCCAAAGTTTACCTCTAAATCATGTCACTGTTTACATGTCAGTTATTTACCATAGGAAATAAATGCGGACCATATTCTATACATAATTCTTGGTAAATTCTCAAGAGAACCCATGACACATTTGGCATACAGTGTTCACCCTTGCGAAGTCAAACATGCAAGTATAAATCAAAAAGTTATCATTCCTCTCAGCTTATGCTGTACCCTTCTGCATGCCTTTCAGAAACGTGAGAGGTGGTGATCAATATACAAATAAAATAATGAAATTACTAGCCATGTGAAGTTGTTAATTTGTTAGGCTAATCATTTTACCTTGCATTATCAAGACTTGGTGCATATGGATAATTCATTGCTTGATCGTTTAACTGATTGAAGTAATGACTCCTCTCATGTTCTGCATATAGAGCATGCGCTGCTGCCCTTTGGTAGGAGATTTAGAATGCCTCATTGCAGACTGAACAGATTTAAAAATTCATTCATAACTCTGTCTATAAAGCAATGACAGATAGAGCCAGAACAGGCATTGGATTATGACAATTTGCATTTTTGTAGAGGTATTTTTAGCATATGATGTTATTACCTCCGCCAAGGAGGTTATGTTTTCGCCGGTCTTGGACTGTTTGTTTGTTTGTCTGCAAAATAACTTAAAAAGTTCTTAACAGATTTTGATGAAATTCAGGAAAGGTTGATAATGACACAAGGAACAGATGATAAAATTTTGGTGGTGATCGGTTGAAGCGAAGTGGATAAAATAATAAAATGGCTGGAAATCCGAGCTGCTTCACAGAGGTCTGTGCTCTCCGAGTGCTTTTCTAGTTTACTTATCTATCTTTTTATGTTTCTTATTGTATATTGGGTATAATGTTGAGTTGTCTATGTACTGTGTTGTATGTTGTATTTCTATGGCTGCAGTATGGGTTTAGGGCCCAAGACAAATTTCCCACTCTGTGGGACAATAAAGTTGATCTTAATCTTGATTCTGAACAGATACAGTATATTATTCAAATCTACAAGTAGGGCCTAGTATTTCCAAGGTGATTGCTTTTTCCCGTGGAACAGTAGTTACACAGTTGTGTTATAAATGTTGTTTTTAATAGCAAGGAGGCTGAAATATAAACAGGCCTAAATGGAATCTGCAGGGTTCAGGTTTTTTAAACCATCCAAAGTGAAAATCTGCTGAATTCTGCCAGAATATCCCCCCCCCGCTGGTAATGTGATAGACAATATTATTTCATGATAACAGTTGTTTTTTGAAGAAAAAAAAAGAAGAAAATCCTCACACAATAGATTAAAAGCTAAAATTACCTCAATCAGGCTAAAATAATTACATAGCAGATTTTAGTAGAAACTTTAAATCAGAAATTTTATTTAATCATGAATACTTTAAGAAAAAAATGTAACATCTGTTGGAATTGTCAGTCAAAAAACGTGGGAACACATTTGGGGGGACACATGGCCATTAGAAGGTTCAACATGGAGCAGGGAGAACAAAATTAATGTGACAATCTATTAATCTCTTAACAGTAAATGTTTTTTTTTTTTTTATTTATTCTCTCTACGCTACTAGCTTAGATTTTAATGCTAACTGAATACACACACCTGCATGTCACACACATGCATAAGGCGGTGGAGGAGACAATGACAACAACATTCTGAGCGAGAGACAGTTCTGTGGGAGCAGATTCCATATGGGTCTGAATCTACTGAGTCTGCACTGTTTCAACTGCAAGCTTTAGCTAACTTTAAGAAACAAATTAGATACATTTTTAATATCAAATGTGTTTTGCTTTTGATTTTTAGATACCCGATGTTGTGAACAGTAACCCGGCAGGAAATGGCTACAATAGTGCCTACACCACTGTGGATGAATCACGCTTCAGGAAACACAGACATGTCACCATTGTGTGAGGATAAACAGAGGACATCTGCAAATGTTTAGGAGTTTTAAAACAAACTTGTACAGCACCTTTAAGCCTTACTAGTTTGGTTTCTGTTCTTGTGTAAGTGAAATGATGTGACAGAAATAGACGTAGGTGTCCATACAAGGTAAACAAGACAGTCATAATAGACATAGAGAAAATAACATAAAGCAGTTGTGATGTATGTGGTGATTTGAGAAGAGTCTGGAGTAGAGATTAGATGATAGGTGTGTGTGTGTGTGTGTGTGTGTGTGTGTGTGTGTGTGTCTCAAACAATTTATGTTTCCTTTGGGTAGACTTTAAAGAGGTAGCCTGCACCTTTGATACTAACTTGTAGGAAAAGCCTGTGCCATTGGTGTATGACTTTGTAAATGTATTCTATTGCACATTAAATATTTGTATCATTGTATGAGTTCTTTTTACGTGGACATAAATAAATTGTTATTACAGTTACAAACGTCAATTGTTATAAATACAATTGATGTTTGTATGAGAGGCTTTAACGTGAAGAATGAGATAGTATTGTGCTCAAGGACCGTCTTTATCACATGATACTCAAGAACAAATGCAGGTGCTCTTGAAGAAAAGGGTCAGCACATGGGAACAAAAGATGAACTTCAGGCACTCATGCGTGGAGCAGAAACAGATGCATTTAAATTAAGTTTAAAAGCCTTTATTTCAAAACATGGCTATTTACATTAAAAACACCGACCGGTTTCGACTCTCTGGTCTTCATCAGGGTGCAAAAGGTTAGAGATTAGTTAAAGAAACCCTCAGGTATCTTCAAGTTTCTCATTAACACATGTAAGTACTGTCCTAATGAGGTTCAAACAAAGACCTTCACTGATTTCAAGAGGACATATAAGGACATATAACCAAAGGAATTTCATTAACTGCAATACAATTTGTTGTATATCGTCTAATGTGCCCATGCAACTGTTTTTATGTAGGACGCACCAAAAGACGACTTAAGGACAAACTTTCAGAACATAAGTACGCTATTAGGACACATCGGTTACGCAGACTTCTCCAGAGAGAATCTTTTTGGATCTTCAAACTCGATGCAGTGATTTATCCTGGTTTAAATGAGGAAACTGATTATACACCCTTCCTTTAACTTAGAGATTTAATTATATGACGAGTGATTTGTTGCTGTTAATGTTTGTCTTGTTATTAATCTTCATTATTCTGATTTTTTAAATTATTTTTCTTTTAAATTTTATTTTAAGTTTATTATTATTATCATCATCATCATCATCACTCGTCATTATTATCATTATTGTAATCAATATTATTATCTTCTTTTTTTTTTAGATTACTGAACATCAAATAAGAATAAGAATAACTTTATTCATCCCCAAGGGGAAATTCAATTATCTGACAGCTCATCTATTATATGTCAAAGAATTATAAAACCTGATGGCTGTTGGTATATAGGATCTTCTGTATCTCTCTGTCCTGCATCGAAGAGAGAGGAGCTGTCCACCTCAGTTTTTTTGGTCCATCAAGGTGTTGTGGAGTGGATGATCTAGGTTGTTCATGATGGCCTCGAACATCTTCAGTGTGCATCTCTCCACCACCTCCTCCAGTGTGTCCAACCTGACTCCAATCACAGAGCCAGCTCTTTTGACTAGTTTGTCCAGTTGCCTTGCATCTTTGTGAGCTTCCTCAAGAAAAAAAGGCGGCTCTGCCCCTTTTTGTAGACAGCGTCTGTGTTTAGGGACCAGTCCAACTTATTATCCAGGTGTACACCTAGATACTTATAGCTTGGCACCACCTCAATGTCCACCCCACAGGTATTCACTGGCTGAAGAGGGAAATTGGACCTGCGGAAATCTATGATCATTTCCTTGGTCTTTGAGGTGTTCAGGAGGAGACAGTTCTTGTGACTCCAGTCACTGAAGGCTTTTATCAGGTCCCTATATTCAGACTCCTGCCCATTCCTGATACACGCCACAATAGCAGTATCGTCCGAGTATTTCTGGATGTGGCAGGACTCAGAGTTGTATTTGAAATCCGCCGTGTACAGTGTGAACAGGAATGGAGCCAGGACAGTATCTTGTGGAGCCCCCATGCTGCTCATTAATGTCCCAGAAACACAGTTCCCCAATCTGACATACTGTGACCTTCCTGTCAGGTAATCTGTGATGCAGGAGATAAAGGAACGATCAACTGCCATCTCTGAGCTTGTCTTTGAGTACGTTGGGTTGGATGGTGTTGAATGCGCTTGAAAAATCAAAGAACATGATTCTTACATAAGCGCCAGGTTCCTCCAGATGAGCTAGGGCACGGTGAAGCATGTAGAGGACAGCATCGTTCACTCTAATGTGTTGTTTGTCTTTGACCTCAAGTCTCAGTAGGCGTAGAATCAGCCGCTCCAAGGTCTTCATGATGTGCGAAGTGAGGGCTACTGGTCTGAAGTCATTAAGTTCAGCTGGACATTTAATTTTTGGTACTCGCACAACACAGGAAGTCTTCCACAGTGCAAGCACCCACCACAACTGTAGACTGAGGTTGAAGATCTTGTGGAGAGTTGGAGAGACACAGTTGGGCAACACAGTCTTTGAGGAGCTTTGGACACACACCATCTCTGGGCCAGGAGCCTTCTGTGGTGGCAAAACAATATTTAATAAACAGTTCAAAGAAAAAGTCTTCACACGTCAGCTGTCTTTCTTGAGTTTTAATAAGCATTCATGAATGGTGTCACACACAACCGCATGAACAATCAGTCAGTGAGTGAGTGCCTTGATGTCCTCTAGCCCTGCTATCTTTATAGTTCCCATAACACATGCACTTCAATAGTCAAAATATGTGGCGCCTGCAGCAGATAGGTTGGTTTGACATTCCTAAGACACAACATCTCCTGAGACTAACAAGGACACTTGGTGTCTGAGCTTGCCTGGCTCGTAACCTTGGTGTCTCTCACTGCTGTCACAGTAGGGGTTAAATGAGCAACACACATCATACATCATACATACACCAGAATTTTCCATCACACTCCACCCTTTTTAGCATTCTCATGCTAAACCATGAGCATGGAAAATTCCTCATTATCTAACGACCTTATGACCTACGAGTACCACCCGTACCAGCCAAACACCAGTGCCGCCAGCCTCCAACATGGGAGATGAAAAACCCAGGCAGAAGTCACAGGCCATAAGCATGGGCAAGCCAAACATCCCTCTCCTATGTGACGAAGGAGAGGGTAAAAGACTTTGCCATATAACTACACTACCTAATGAGGGAAAAAACCTCAATATGATGAGGACAAAAAAATCCCTTAAACTAAACTCTAAGTTAAAGCAAGATAAGCATAAATGAAAAATGTCATCTTTAATGAGACTACACAATGGCAAAATCAATAAAGGGAACACTGATTGTCATGCGAATGCCTTTATAAAAGCAAATGAAGATGAATAAAAGCAAATGAAGATGAATAATGAAAAAATAAAAATGAAAGTGAAAATCAAAAGAATAAATTGAGTAAATATGGTGTCTGCTAAACTAGTGCTGAGTGTAATCAATGTGAAGTAGTAGTGTAGTGTAATGTAAAAATGTATTTAAAATGTGAATAAATGATAAATGTGATTTGCTAATCAAACTACTAATGAATCAACTTTAATGATCAAAACATTTCTAAACTAAAACAGATAAATGTGAATCAGAAGAATAACTTAAACGAGTGACTTCTGTGAATTGTAAGGAGGAGTCCACAGATCCATCTGCACGTAGCGCCCTACAGCAGATGATACCATTGATGTAATCAGAGATCTCACACAGGGAACGACACAATACATAACAATGCACAGCACCAGCAAAACCACTACGACAGGGGCAAACAGATGCATTAATGATGCTTTCCATCCACTCAAAGAAAACCAGGACCACAGGTCCACACTTGCTCCTAGCTCAGTGTCACAGCTCTTCTCCAGATGTAACAGATCATTAAGATGAAAAACCACATGTATCATGTTATCAGTGATGTCAGGTATGTATGTACAGCAATCAGTACCCATAATGTGACAAACCCCCCCTGGCTGGCCAGGACTAAATCCATAGCCATCCTGTTCTGCAGAGCCACATTTGTGAGGCCCTGTACCGATGGTGTGAGTGAGCCAAATCTTGTAGCCACGTTGTCTGTGAGATTTTCCAAGTCCACAGCTACAGTATCAATCTTGTGTGCATTGTTTACTGTTCCCCACCATGGCAGGAGACCCCCAAAACCCTTCTCCACAGGAGGTACCCTTACCACAGCTCGTCTTGCTCTGTGCGGTGGGTAGTAGTGATCACAGTCTGTGTGAAAATGAGTCAAATCAGGAACAATAGTCACACAAGGCAGTGACTTAGCCAAGTAGCACCTGCCACACCATCCAGGCTGAAGGGCCTGATGAACATGTCTGCCACACACCCAGACGTGATGTCTGAGCGATCCCAGCCCATCACTGGATGTCAGTAAGCCATCTCCATCACCAAAAGCACCTGGAACGGACTGTTCCACCTGCGAGCTTTCCAGTTCTTTCGTCTCAGATCTCTCACTACAACGTAGTCGCCTGGCTTGAGATCATGCAGCTTCCTTTCCACTGGTTTGGGCAGGGCAGCTTTCACCTGTTGGTGGATTTCAGACAAAACAGAGGACAAGGTTGCACAATATCGTAACATTTCATCCTCGTAGTGACCAGTGTCTGGCAACTGCCTTTTAACGGGCCCAATCCCAGTATTGAGAGGTCTGCCAAATAAGATCTCAAATGGACTGAATCCATTTCTGTTCCTCCTTCTAGCCCTCATGTGCATCAACACAATAGGAAGAGCTTTTGTCCATGACATCTTAGTCTCCTCACACACTTTCACACGTTTGTTTTAAAGCATTTTCTCTCTCACATGCCCCTCCAGAGGCTGGGTGATATGCACAATGGTGTCTCAGATCAATACCCATGAACTCACCAGTTGGAATTCCCCACCTGGGAATTATCAGAGTCATCAAAGCCTTTGCCACTGCTGCTGCATCCTGTTTAGCTGTGGGAAAAGCTTCAACCCATTCTGAAAACATGAAGACAATCACCAACTGGAAAACCCTCTTGTAAACCAGTATCTCTGTATCTCATCAACCATTCCCCCCTTTGACAACTGGTCCAAACCATGTGTCAATTCAGCAAAGAAATGAAAAAGGTAGTGAGGGAGACAGGGCAGGCCATCAGGGCCTGTCCACACTTTATCAACCACAGTACATCCTGCTTTTTTCCAAATGGCCTTCTGCACCGGAGAGGCCCTTATCTGCAGGTCTGTTATCTTAGCCGTAGCCACGGCTGTGGGAGTACAAGCAGGGGTTAGTTAGGTGGCATGCAATTGGGCGGTGGGGTCTGGGGTGTGTCTCCGGCTCTCTGAGGGTGCTGGCCATTGCCGCCCCGGGTC